GATTCTAGGCAGGGGCTCTACCACTGAGTCACACCCCCAGCCCCTCACTGGGGGATTCTAGGCAGGGGCTCTAACACTGAGCCACACCCCAGCCCCTCACTGGGGGATTCTAGGCAGGGGCTCTACCACTGAGCCACACCCCAGCCCCTCACTGGGGGATTCTAGGCAGGGGCTCTACCACGGAGCCACACCCCAGCTGTTCCTTTCCATCTAACTGAAATTTTAGTGTTAGGAAAACCTGTCCCTCGCCCCTGCTTACTTCACTCATCTATTTATTCAATGATTTCTTCCCATGCCAGACTTGTGAATTTTTTTTTTTCATTCTCTGGGTAAAAATCCAGCACCATCATTTTGTATTGCTTTTCACAGTGTCCCAGATTTAGTCTCTTGGAATTTGTTTGCATTGGGCTTGGGAGTGGTGGTGTGCTGGAAATGTGAGTCAGTGGTAGAACATTTGCCTCGTATGTCTCAAGCTCTGAGATCCCCCTGCACCTAAAAAATTCCTTCTTCCTGCATTAGAGGCACGACTGACCTGGTCCCTGCGCTGATGAGGTCTGTTTTATCGTTAGCTTCATTAGTCCTTTAGAACGCTGCTTTCCATGCAACTTTCTCCCCACTTCCTTCAGTGTGTTGATGGCATTCACTTTCCAATATAGCCATGTGCTGTATTTTCCCTTCACATCTGGCTGATTTTAATGTTCTCTTAAGTTTTACTGTATTTATGAGCACGTGCGTGCGTGCGTGCGTGTGTGCGTGTGTGCGTGCGTGTGCCTGTTTGTCTGTATGTGTACCATATGCATACAGTGCTCTTGGAGGCCAGAAGAGGGTGCTGGATTCCCTGAAATCGGATCACTGATAGTTGTGAGCCATTGTGTGGGCGCTAGAAACTGAACCCGGGTCCTCTGCAAGAGCAGCCAGTGCTCTTAACCACTGAGCCATCGGGTTCGTGTGTGTGTGTGTGTGTGTGTGTGTGTGTGTGTGTGTGTGTGTGTGTGCGTGTGAGAGAGAGAGAGAGAGAGAGAGAGAGAAGAGGAGAGGGTACATGAATATAATATAATCCGAGAAGTTAGACTGATATGAAAGGTCACCTGGAGAAGTATCTGCTCTCACTGTTATGCTAATCCCATTGCCCACCCTCACCCCACCCCCATATGTCCGTCTTTTCAGCTCCTGGGGTGTCCTTTCTGTATTCCCTTTGTACATGTGAGCAGTGGCTTTCCTAGCTCTATATCCCCGAGTTTTAGGGCGGCTAACTATATGATTTGTCTCTGATGCTAGCTATGTAGCCCAGGCTGATCTCAAACTCCTGATCCTCCTGCCTCAGCTTCCCAAGTGGATGGTCTTACAGATGTGCTCCACCATGCCTTGCTAAGTTGACCTGCCTTTCAAATTACTGGCAGAAGAATCTATGACCTTAATGTTATAGTAGCACTTGGTGTTTTTACTTACTGTGGTTGTACTTGGTGTTTAGAGAGAGCTGGCCTAGAACTCACCATGTGGCCTGGGCTGGCTTTGAACTCATGGAATTACAGGTGTCCTCACCACCCCAGTCTCCATGTGGCATTTTGTTTATTGCTTGCTTGTGTATGAAGGGGGATATACACATTGTGTGGAGATCGGAGGACAACTTGCAAGAGTTGATCTCTCTCCTTCCACCATGGGTTCCTGGGCTTGAACTCAAGTCTTTAGGGCATCACAGCCAGTGTTCTGACCAGCGAGCCGTCTCACTGGCCGGCCCTCCGCTTGGTTTTCTTTTTTTCTTATTTTTTTGAGACAGAGTTTCTCTGTGTAGACCTGGCTGTCCTGGAACTCACTCTGTTGACCAGGCTGGCCTCGAACTCACAGAGATCCACCTGCCTCTGTCTCCCAAGTGCTGGATTAAAGGTGTGCGCCACCGCCGCCCGGCTCCACGTGGTATTTTTAAAGCCTGGATTTGGTTGTTTGATTTGAGAGTCTGAAGTGCATATTCCTCTTCTGGAGCCCTGTTAGTGTTGGGAGCTCTTTCATTTTTCTTTAATATATCTGTGTTTGAGTTGCAAAAGGAAGGAAGGAGAAAGAGAGCAGAGAGAGAGAGAGAGAGAGAGAGAGAGAGAGAGAGAGAGAGAGAGAGAGAGAGAGAGAATTAGAGGCCGTCATTAAGGAACCTGACCTGTGATATAAAAAGCCACTGTGGGGGTTGGGGATTTAGCTCAGTAGCAGAATGCTTACCTAGCAAGTGCAAGGCCCTGAGTTTGGTCCTCAGCTCTGAGGCCGGGGCTGGGGCCGGGAGTGGGTGGTAAGCCACTGTGTACAGATTTGTTCTACAGACAGGCATGGTGACTCACTCCTACTGTCCCAGCTGAGGCAGGAGGATTACTGCAGGTGCAAGGCCGTTCTGGGCTACACAACAAGGTCCGAGCTAACCTGGGATACAGCAAGAGAGCCTGTCCTTCCCGCAGACAGCTTCCACTTGCCCCTCCCGGTCACTTTCTTACTTAGCTGCCTCCGGACACCTGTCTGGAGCTCCCTCATGGTGTCCCGAGTGTGCCTCGCTGGCTGCAGGCTAGCACACACGGAGGAAGAATCGGGACGTTGACTCAGCCTGTGAGTCTCATTGTTACGAGTTCCTTGCCTAAGGTTGTCCCTCCTAGTCACTAAAGAGGTCTGCCAGGGCATTCTCAGGATGCCAAACCAGTCACCTACAAACAAAGGCACAGGGCCACAGTGTTTGCACAGAACCTCCAGCACCCTGCAAGTCACCTCGCTATGACTCAGTCTTCGCACGGTACTCGAAAGTAGCTACTGTGTCACGATGTTTCTTTGTTTGTTTTGTCTTGATTTTAATTAGTTTATATGAATCACACACCAGAAGCCTCAAAACGACGTTTTCTCTTTATTTATTTTGGTTTTTCAAGACAGAGTTTCTCTGTGTGGCCCTGGCTGTCCTGAAACTCAAACATAGCCCAGACTGGCCTCGAACTCACAGAGATCCACCGGCCTCTGCCTCCCGAGTGCTGAAATTAAAGGCGTGCGCCACCACCGCCTACCCCATTTTTGTACATGTATATGATGTTTGTAATGTATACATTTTTGGACGTGTATATAATGTATTTGGGTCACATTCACCTACCCCTCACCCTCACTTGTTCTATCCCCCCCCTCTACTGTCTCCTTCCTCTTCCAACTACTCCTCCTCTTCTCCTGTCGTGTATGTGTGGTGTGTGTGTGTGTGAGTGTGTGTGTGTGTGACTGTGTGTGTGACTGTGAGGTGTGTGTGAGTGTGTGTGTGAGTGTGTGTGGTGTGTGTGGTGTGTGGTGTGTGGTGTGTGTGTATGTGTGTGTGTGTGAGTGTGTGTGTGTGTGGTGTGTGTGTGACTGTGAGGTGTGTGTGAGTGTGTGTGTGTGTGAGTGTGTGTGTGTGGTGTGTGTGGTGTGTGTGGTGTGTGGTGTGTGTGTGGTGTGTGTGTGTATGCGTGTGTGTGTGGTGTATGTGTGTGTGTGGTGTATGTGTGTGTGAGTGTGTGTGTGTGTGTGTGTGTGTGTGTGTGTCTGACCTTGAGTTTCCTCACGTTGCTTACAGAGCGCGGGTGAATGGTTACTTACAGGAGCACGATCTACACACAGCAGACCGCAGGTCCTTAGGGCAGGGCTGGTGTGTTCCTCCCTCCTCCAGGTTTGAGTTTTTTTTTTAAACAGAGCCTTGCTATGAAGCTCAGGTTAGCTCAGAATTTGTTATGTAGTCCAGGCTGGCCAAGAAGTTCCAATCCTCCTGCCTCAGTCTCCGGATGCTGGCTATATGGTGCTGAGGATGGGACCCAGAGCTTGTGCTCACTGGGCAGACACTCTACACACTGAGCCACAGCCCCAGCCCCGCTCCCAACAATTTATTTGTACTATTTTATGTGTGTAGGTGCTTTGGCTGCATGTCTATCTGTGAATCATTTCATGTCAGGTGCCATCTGAGACCAGAAGAGGATATCAGATCCCCGGGAACTGGAGTTACAGACAGTTGTGTGCTGCCTTGTGGGTGCTGGGAATTGAACCCAGGTCCTTTGGAAGAGCAACCAGTGCTCTAACCACTGAGCAATCCCTCCACCCTCCCCAAATATTTTTATAAATTCATTTATTATTTTGTTCATGTGGGAGGTAGGCACACCCATGCCACAGCACACATGTGGAGGTCAAAGGCCTGTTTTTTGTTTGTTTGTTTGTTTTTTATTGTTGTTGTTGTTGTTGTTTTTTTGGTTTTTCGAGACAGGGTTTCTCTGTGTAGCTTTGTGCCTTTCCTGGATCTCGCTATGTAGACCAGGCTGGCCTCGAACTCACAGAGATCCACCTGCTTCTGCCTCCCGAGTGCTGGGATTAAAGGCGTGCGCCACCGCCGCCAGGCTGTTGTTTTGTTTTAAGACAAGGTCTCAGTATGCAGCCCTGGATGGCTTATAGTTCACTATGTAGACCAGGCTGGCATCAACCCACAGAAATATGTCTTCCTCTCTTAGGATTAAGAACTGCCTAGCTCTGAGGACTTTTGGAAGCCATGTGGGTCTTGGGATTGGAACTCAGGTCACAATGATTGAGCCGTTTTGACAACCGTTTTCTCTCCAGAGTATTTTCAACCCACAGTTGATTGAATTCCAGGACCTGCAACCCAGGTCCTATTGCAACTTCCTATTGTATTTGTATGCATCTATGCTTCCTCACAACCTTGAAGGGTAGACAGCCCTATTCCGTTTCACATATGGGGAAACTGAGGCTCGGGGAGGCGAAGCCACTTCCAAGGGAAGCCCAGCTTGGAAATAGCAGAGGGCGCAGACTGAACAGCTGCTGCTAAGTGCCGCCCCTTCCCACCCTCCCACCCTCCCACCACCCACCCTCCCACCACCCACCACCCACCACCACCCTCCCACCCTCCCACCACCCACCCCCACCCTCCCAACCCCTACACCCCACTCCTAACCCCACCCCGACATTTCCTGCTTGATAGCCTCCCGCAGGCCTCGCTCTGGTTCCTCTCTCCCCAGGTGAGCCAGGCTCCATGACAGTGACCTGGACCACGTGGGCTCCAGCCCGGTCGGAGGTGCAGTTTGGCATACAGCTGTCCGGGCCCCTCCCATTCCGTGCCCGCGGCACCGCCAGCACCTTCGTGGATGGGGGGATTCTACGGCGCAAGCTGTACATGCACCGCGTGACGCTGCGGAAGCTGGTGCCCGGGGCCCAGTACGGTGAGAGGATGGGCAGTGGGCAAGGGGGAGGTATGTTCCAGAGGCTCTCCAGCCCTGCCGCTGAGGCTGGGCTGGCGGCTCATCTGCCAGACGTGTGAGACCCTGGGGTACGAGATCAGGTGTGACAACACAGGCCTGTCATCCCAGCCCTTGGAAGGAGGCAGGAAGATTCGAAATTCCAGGTCATCCTGGGCTACATAGATAGTTGGAGACTAGCCTGGGCTACCAGAAACGTTGTTGCTAAAAAAAAGTAGTGATGATGATGATGATGATGATGATGATGTTTCTGTGTTTTCCTCCCTCTCCAGCGGCATGAGGGGCCTGTTGGAAAGGTCCTGGTCCCTGCCTCCCCAGCTGACAGAGGTCTGGGTTTTTTTTTCCCCTCAGTTTACCGTTGTGGCAGCTCTCAGGGCTGGAGTCGGCGGTTTCGCTTCAGGGCCTTGAAGAACGGGGTCCACTGGAGCCCCCGCCTGGCTGTGTTTGGGGACATGGGGGCTGACAATGCGAAGGCCCTGCCCCGGCTGCGGAGAGACACCCAGCAGGGCATGTTTGACGCGGTGCTCCATGTGGGTGAGGCACGGGCGCGGGCGCGCCCAGAGGCTGGCAGGCCGGGTGCCCATAAGTCCAGTTCTGGGATGGGCTGGTGGGGCGGGGTGGTTCTGAAGGGATGTGGTTGGGGGCTGAGGGTGGGAGTTGAGGCTGACCCCAGATATGAGGTCTGAGGTTAAGATCTCAGCTCTGGTCCCTATACATTCCAGCACTGATTTCCTATTTTTTTGTTCTTATTGTTATTAGGCTCATTCAGAATACACAGAAATGTTATAATAAATTAAAATGACTGGGCATAGCAGCACATGTCTGTAATCCCAGCAGTGGAGAGGCTGAGGCAGGAGAGTTGCCCAGAATTCAAATCCAGCCTGAACAGTTTAAGTGAGACCTTTGTTTAAAAAAACCAAGGGCAGGGCCGGGCGGTGGTGGTGCACGCCTTTAATCCCAGCACTTGGGAGGCAGGCGGATCTCTGTGAGTTTGAGGCCAGCCTGGGCTACAGAGCGAGTTCCAGGACAGGCTCCAAAGCTACACAGAGAAACCCTGTCTCAGAAAACAAAACAAAACAAAACAAACAAACAAACAACAATAACAACAACAAAAAACAAGGACTATGGGTGTGGCTCAGTGGTAGAGCCCCTGCCTAGAATCCCCCAGTGAGGGGCTGGGGTGTGGTTCAGTGGTAGAGCCCCTGCCTAGAATCCCCCAGTGAGGGACTGGGGTGTGGCTCAGTGGTAGAGCCCCTGCCTAGAATCCCCCAGTGAGGGGCTGGGGTGTGGCTCAGTGGTAGAGCCCCTGCCTAGAATCCCCCAGTGAGGGGTTAGGGATGTAGAGCACTTGCCTAGCGTCTAGAAGATCTTGGGGTCAATCTCTCGCAATAATAAAAGAAACGGTTGCTTGGTAAAATCAGCATCAAACCAGACCCAGCTGTGTGATGGGAGCAAACGAGACAGAGAGCTGGGCTGCTGGGTCAGCTCATATATGAGAAGGTCTGAGGTAGGGATCAAGACCCAGGTCCTGACCCTAGAAAGCAGAGCCTGGGCCTCACTCCCCCCCATTCCCTACTGCCCTCAGGAGACTTCGCCTACAACATGGACCAGGACAACGCTCGCGTTGGGGACAGATTCATGCGGCTCATTGAACCTGTTGCAGCCAGTGTGCCATACATGACATGTCCGGGGAACCATGAACAGCGCTAGTGAGTGTGGCGGGCTGCAGCCGGGCAAAAGCCAGATTAGTGACAACAACTGTGTCCTTGTTAGAGTCTCGCTGAAGTGCCTCATGCTGCAGGTGCCTCGTCTGTGGTAGAAAAAGAAGAGATTAAGGGCGGGCTGGGAACCGTACTCTGGCCTCAAGGTTGAGGGGTAGGGTTAGAGGCTGCTGAATCCAGGGCCTTACCCCTTGCTCTTTATAATTTCTTTTTTTTTCCCCCCAGCAATTTCTCTAACTACAAGGCCCGCTTTAGTATGCCAGGGGACAATGAAGGCTTGTGGTACAGGTAATATGGAGGGTCGGACCGAGCCCCCCGAGGGACGGGTCATGCAGACTTCCCATCTCTGACCCTTGCCTTTTGACCCCTGTAGCTGGGACCTGGGTCCTGCCCATATCATCTCGTTCTCCACTGAGGTGTATTTCTTTCTCCACTATGGCCGCCACCTGGTTGAGAGGCAGTTCCGCTGGCTGGAGAATGACCTCCAGGTAGGCCCGAGTGCAAGCCCCCTCCGGCCTCTCAGCCCTATCGCTGTCCCTCACGCCAGTTTTTTTCCTCTAGAAAGCCAATAAGAATCGGGCAGCTCGGCCATGGATCATCACGATGGGTCATCGGCCTATGTACTGTTCCAACGCGGATCTGGATGACTGCACGAGGCACGAAAGCAGGGTGAGGTCCCTTCCCTGGGTGGCTGTGAGACTTGGTGGGAGGACGGGCCTCCTCACCTCCCTGCTCATCCCAACAGGTCCGAAAAGGCCTCCACGGCAAGCTGTTTGGGCTAGAGGACCTTTTCCATAAATATGGTGAGTGATCCTGGGGAGTCCCCTGCCCCATCTCTCTCCACCTGGGAGCCTGATGGTCGCTGTTTCCGCCTTAGGTGTGGATCTGGAGTTCTGGGCTCATGAACACTCCTATGAACGTCTATGGCCAATTTACAACTACCAGGTGAGGCCCAAGGAGGACTCAGGACCGAATGGCTGATGTCCATGTGGTCAGACCCTCCCCAGGGCCTGACCAGCTGTGACCCATCCTTTCCTCCAGGTGTTAAATGGCAGCCTGGAAAAGCCCTATACCAATCCTCGAGGCCCGGTTCACATCATCACAGGATCTGCGGTGAGCAGGTGGGAAGGGACTGGTTTAGACTAGTTTAGACATGATGATGGTGACCACCGCGGCACTCTGAACGGGGAGACTAGGTGCTGCTGATAGTATGTTCATCAGACAGATGGGGTCGCGGAGGCTAGGGTAGGAAACACAGCGGGCCACAGATGGGTGAAGCACAGTGGTTGAAATCCCTGTGTGGTGGTGCATGCCTGTAACTCTGGCATTCGGGAGGCTGGGAGCCCGAGGACTGCTCTGAGTTCAAGGCCATATATAGTGAATTCTGGACCAGCCTGGGCTACAATATGAGACAGTATCTCAAAAGACCAAACAGGACCAGAGTGAGTAATGGCCAAACCTGATTACCTGAGTTCAATTCCCAGGGCCCAACATGTGGAAAGAGAATATAACACACACACACACACACACACACACACACACACACACACACACACACACACACACACACAGAGACACTTGCTGAATAAATGTAGTTAATAATAATAATAATAATAATAATAGTAAGACAAGCAAAAGCACAAAACAAAGCTAGCCATCATGGGGCAGCTTGTACTCTTAGCACGTGGGAAGTGGAAGCAGGAGGATCAGGAGTTTGGGTCATCCTTGGCTACACAGCAGCTTTGAGGCCAGCATGGACTTACATGAGACCCGGGACAGACAGTGGGTTGGAGAGAGGCTCAGGGGTTAAGAGCGTCTGCTGTTCTTGCAGAGGACCAGGGTTCAGGTCCCAGCACCCAGTCAGGCAGCTGTGAGCTGACTGAGACACAGACACATGAGAAACAAACAAACAAACTAACGAGTGTGTCTGGGGTTCCTGCTCCGCAAAGTCACTATGACTTCCTTTTTTTTCCTCCTAAGACACTGTCTCTCCAAGTAGCCCAAGCTAGCCTCAAGCCCTAGGCCCTGGTTTTTATTTTATTTTATTTTTTTTCTTTTTTCCGGAGCTGAGGACTGAACCCAGGGCCTTGTGCTTGCTAGGCAAACGCTCTACCACTGAGCTAAATCCCCAACCTCTAATTTTTATTTTAATTCACTAATTAATCTTGAGATCAGCTCATAGAGTCTAGGCTGGTCTCAAACTTGGTATCTAGTTATATAGTTCAAATTGACCTTGAACTTTTAAAATTAATATTTTATTCATTTGTTATTCTATTTTACGTGTATGGGTGTTTTTCCTGCATGTATGTATGCACACCATGTGCATGCAATGCCTGAGGAGACGCAAAGAGGGCGTCATATCTCTAGAACTGGAGTTACAGATGGTTGTGAGCTGCCATGTGGGCGCTAGGAACCAAAACCCACGTCCTCTACAAGAGCAGCCCATGCTCTTAACCTCTCCAGCCCCTGACCTTGGATTTCAGATTCTTCTCTCTCCACTTCTGAGGTGCTGGGATTACAAGGCACGCACCAACATGCCAGGTTTTGTTTTGTGCTGGGGATTGAATTTAGAGCATTGTGCATGCTGGGCAAGCATTCTTTCAGCTGAGCTACAAACAGCCCAGTTAATTTGTTTTTGTCTTCTTGTTGTTATTGGGTTTTTTGTTTGTGTTTGCTTTTGCGTGTGTGTGTGTGTGTGTGTGTGTGTGTGTGTGTGTGTGTGTGTGTGTGTGTGTAGGTGCAGAGGTTGCATGTGGCAGTGAGAGACAATGTGCTAGAGTAGTTCTTTCCTTCTACCATGTGGGTTCTGGGGACCAAATTCAGGTTGCTAGGTTTGGTGGTAAGTGCCTTTATCTGCCAAGCCACCTTACCAGCTCCCAGTTTATTTTATTTTATTGTTTGTTTGTTTTGTTTTTCAAGACAGGATTTCTCTGTGTAGCCCTGACTGTTCTGGATCTCACTCTGTAGACCAGGCTGGCCTCGAACTCACAAAGATCTGCCTGCCTCTGTCTTTCGAGTGCTGGGACTAAAGGCATGCGTGTGCCGCCGCCACTCTGCCGCAGTTTAGTTTTGAGACAGGGTCTCACTCTATAATCCAGGCTGGTTTGGACCTGACTATGTAGACCAGGTTGGCCTTGGACTTTGGGATCCTCCTGTCTCAACCTCCCAAGTGCTGGGACTGAAGGTTTGTGGCCAAGTCATAAGTGACATGCTCTTGAAGGCCACTGAGTCGGGGCCTGAAGTGTTTCCTGCTGCCCCTGTGTCCAATGTCATCTGACCATCTGTCTTCCACAGGGCTGTGAAGAGTTGCTGACTCCCTTTGTTATAAAACCCAGACCCTGGAGCGCCGTGCGTGTGAAGGAGTATGGGTACACGAGAATGCACATCCTTAATGGCACCCACATGCACATCCAGCAGGTGTCTGAGGACCAGGTCTGTCGGGCATGGGTTACAAGCTGCACAGCCTGGCCCAGGGGATGCAGGAGCTGAGTGGTTAAAACCTTGGGCTCAAGAGTAAATCAAGCTGGTCTTGATAGCACACTCCTTTAATCCCAGGACTTGAGAGGCAGAGGCAGGCAGATCTCTGAGTTCAAGGCCAGCCTGGTCTACAAAGCAAGTTCCAAGACAGCCAGGGATACACAGAGAAACTCTGTCTCGGAAATTAATAAACAAAAAAAGTAGTCAATACACTGGGTGTGGTGAGGCATGACTATAATCCCACCCCTTGAGAGACTGAGGCAAAGGAATTAGGGGGTCATGGCTCAGTGGTAGAGCCCCTGCCTAGAATCCCCCAGTGAGGGGCTGGGGGCGTGGCTCAGTGGTAGAGCCCCTGCCTAGAATCCCCCAGTGAGGGGCTGGGGGCGTGGCTCTCTGGTAGAGCACCTGCTTAACATGTGAGAAGCCCTAGGTTCAATCCTCAGCTCTGAAAAGAACAACAAAACACAAAATAAAATAAAAAATATAGAGTTGGGAAGTTGAGGCAATAGGACCTAGATTTCAAGGCCAGTTGGGCTACATAGAGAGACCATGAGCCCAAAAGAGAAAAAAAAAATTGTACACTGAAATTGGAAGCCTGGTTTCAAATCCTGCCCATGCTTCCTACCAGCCATGAGACTGTGAATAATTTCTCTGACCCCTGTGGTCTTCAGTGTTCGTATCTGTGAAACAGGGTGGACCACAGCTTCTGGTTCACATAAAGTGCTGAGGACAACCTGGTAGTGGGAAGTCAGACAGGGTTAGTCACTTTAAAGTCGGAGAAAGAACAGGTGGCTGATGGGAGTGAAGAGGATGCATGTGTGGTGGATCTGAACAGTGACAGTCCAGTTTATTTCTGCCTGTGTGTGTGTGTGTGTGCATGTGTGTGCATGTATGTATTCACACACATGTGTGTGTACTCACCCATGTAGGCATGTGTGGAAGCTACAGGTCAGCCTTAAACATCTTCCACTATCTCCGTCTTTTTTTAAAAAAAGTTTTAATTGTTTTTATTTTATGTGTTTGGGTGCTTTGCCTGCATATATGTCTGTGCACCTCTTGGCTTCAGTACCCAAGGAGGTCAGAAGAGGGCATCAGATGCCCTGAAACTGGAGCTACAGTTTATTTTATTTTATTTTTTATGATTTATTTGCATTGGTAGTTTGTCTACATGTGTGTTTGTGTAAGGGTGTTGGATCTCCTGGAACTGGAGTTACAGACAGTTGTGAGCTGCCATGTGGGTGCTGGGAATTGAACCCAGGTCCTTTGGAAGACGCCAATGCTCTTAACCACTGAGACATCCCTCCGGCCCCAAACTTTTTCTTGTTTGACACGGGGTCTTTCACTGAACTTGTATGCCTTAGTTAAGGTTTTATTGCTATGAAGGGACACCATGACCACAGCAACTCTTATAAAGGAAAACATTTAATTGGGGCTGGCTCACAGCACAGAGGTTTAGTCCATTATTGTAATGGTGGCATGCGGACAGACATGGTGCTGGAGAAGGAGCTGAGAGTCCCACATGTTGATTCACAGGCAGCAGGAAGAGAATGTCACACTGGGCCTGGTTTGAGCATCTGAGACCTCAAAGCCCACCACCTAGTGACATGCTTCCTCCAACAAAACCACACCTACTCCAGCAAGGCCATGAATCCTAACAGTGCCTCTCCCTATGAACCTATGAGGGCCATTTTCTTTCAAACCACATCAGAGCTTACCATTTTAGCTGGAGCAGCTGGACAAAAGACTCTGTGAGCTACCGGTCTCCATACCCTTCCCCACAGTGCTGGGTTACAGGCCTGTATTGTTGAGTCTGCCTTTAAAAAATAAAAAGATGTATTTTATTTTTTATTATGTGTATGCATGTGTGCATGGGCACACACATGCACCGCATGGGTGAAGATGCCTGTGGAGGTTATAGAGGGCATCAGACTTCCTGGAGAAGAGTCACAGGCAGTTATAGCCACTAGGAACTGAATCTGGGTCCTGTGTAAGAGTAGTAAGGAGCCGGGCGGTGGTGGCGCACGCCTTTAATCCCAGCACTCGGGAGGCAGAGCCAGGCGGATCTCTGTGAGTTCGAGGTCAGCCTGGGCTACCAAGTGAGTTCCAGGAAAGGTGCAAAGCTACACAGAGAAACCCTGTCTCGGGAAAAAAAAAAAAAAAAAAAAAAAAAGAGTAGTAAGGGCTCTTTATTACTGAGCCATCTCTCCAGCCCCAGGTCTGTTCTTTTTAATTAGTGTGTGTGTGTGTGTGTGTGTGTGTGTGTGTGTGTGTGTGTGTGTGTACAGTGTGTGCACGTTGAGGCCAGAAGAGGATGCCCAGCTGACCTCCTCTATCACTCTCCAATTCTCTTGAGGCAGGGTCTCTCCCTGAACCTGAGGCTCCAGCCTCAGCTAATCTGGCCACCAGCAACACCTGGATCTCCTGCTCCACCTTCCTTGGAAATGGATTAGAGGCACACACGCGATAACGGGCCTTTTACTGGGTGCTGAGACCCCAAATCCAGTCCTCACAATTAAGGAGCAAATGCTCCTAACCACTGAGCCATCTCTCTAATTCCACGCCTGGCTTTACATGGTTGCTGGGGATCTGAACTCAGGTCCTCATGCCTGAACAGCAAGACCTTTACCCACTGAGCAGTTCCCCAACTCCTCACAGTGGTTTTAAGATCATAATGAGCCGGGTGTGGTGGTGTACTTTCGAGGCAGGAGGATCAGAATTCAAGTTCAAGACCAGCATGGGCTTTCACAGCCATTGCCTCAAAAAGAAAAGAACAAAATACCAAAATAAAATAAAAATTAGAGTTTAGTGAGCACTGCTGTGTTCTGGGCATGGGATTAGACTGTCTTGTATTTAGCGTAAGCAATTTACCCCCTCAGTGATTCCCACAGGGACAGGATTCTTCCATCCACAGATGAAGGAGCCTAACCTGAGAAAGGAAAAGCAATTTTCCAGGGTCACAGAATTCCAGACAGCAGAGCTACAATCTGACCCACATTTTCAGCACCATCATTTACCAAGTAGTTCACTTACTGTGTGTAGGCTCCGATACCCTTGTCTCTTCTGTCATACTGGCCCTGTAGCTATCTCTCCTAGAGTTCCCTTGTATTCTAAATAACATGACAGCTGAGCAAAGAAACGTGCTCAGGGCAGCATGGACACTGGATACTCTGGAGCACAGGCTCCTGATGACGTCATCCAGATGTGCTAGGCATGTGGCTCAATTCATGGAGCGATTGCTTAGCAAACACGATGTCCCGGGTCTGATCCTCAGTACCACATAAATGGTGGCTCATACCTGTAAGTCCAGTGCCTAAGAGTGGAGGGGATGTTCAAAGTCATTCTTGGTTACATGTTACATGAAATCCTATCTCAAAACAAAACCAAAAACCAACCAAACAAACAAACAAAACCCATCCCTTAGAGATAGCACATCACTGCTGCCTCAAATGGGAGGTGAAAACAGCGTGTTCTTATGCAGCCCAGGCTGACCTGGGACAGATCCTCCTGCCTCTGCCTCCCAAGTGCTGGCATTACCGGTGTGTACCACTCCACACTCCTGGCTTCGTCTTGACTTTTCAAATCAGAGAGCTGTAGGAACTTGTCCAAGGTCATCCAGCCTTAGAGGTGGCAGTGGGATTTGGCCCCACAGGCCAGGCTTCCCTTCCTCACTGCCTCCTGTTTCTGATCTTCACAGGATGGGAAGATTGTGGACGACATTTGGATAGTTAGACCTTTGCTCGGCCGGATGATGTACCACTAAGACTGGGGCTTCCCTCCTGAAGACACTTTGCTGCTGCTACCAGGCAGTGTCCTAGCCTGGGTGGGGAGTCAGGGCAGGACCCACTCCCCCGTCATCCAGAAGCCTGAGGGTGAAAAAGCCTCCAGAGAGACCAGACAGCTCTTGCCTCCTGGGGAGGTCGGAGCCCAGACTGCTCGGAGAGGGAGGGCAGGTATGTGGGCACCAGCAGGGCTGCCTTGCCAACATAGTCCTACCCTCCTGCGTGGCTCTGACAGGGCAGGGGACCCATGTGCCTCAGAATAAAGAGGCTTACAGCTGTGGCTCCTTGGACTCAAACTTCCACTGGGTGGGCCATCTCTCTGCTTGCCCTCCCCTGAAGGGTGTCCTGTGCCGGGATCAGCAAGGTGGGCACAGCCCTCATGAAGGAGTCGCCAGCAGGGTTATCTAGTTCTGTCTTCGCTTGGAACTAGTCCCTGGCTTGACCCATGATGTACTTGTGCCTCAGTTTCCCAGCCAGTACTATCTTCTCTAGGCAGAGAGGATAGGGTAGCACTGTTGCCTCCCCCAAGGCACAGCTGCCAGGATTCAGGAGCACACAGATCTGCTACATTCTCCCCTCGATGTCCCTCCTCCCCCTCCTCTTCCTCTCCCTCCTCCCCTTCCTTCCCTTCCTCCTCCTCTTCTTCTTCCTCTCCTCCTCCTCCTCTTCTTCTTCCTCCTTTTACGGATCCCACCAAGATTCACTGAGCATCTATCATGCCAGGAAAGGAACAAGACAGATCTCTCCCCTCACAGGACGCACATGGAAGCAGGGACTTAAATAACAAACAGCTCACAAGGGATAACTGCTGGGGGTGGGGGGAAGGAACAGTGTCTGTTTGCAGGGAGATGGGTGACATTTGGACTAACGTTGATGATAGGGGACACAGGTAAGGCAGGAAGGACATCCCAAACAGAGGTGCAGCCAGCGCAAAGGCCCTGAGGCAGATCAGTACTTTCCCCCTGGGCTGAGGAGGCTGCTGTGGCTGTCGCCCAACAGTGAGGGAGAGAGGGGGGAAGAGGACAGAGCAGTGGCAGATTACATGGACCTTGTATGCCACAGTGAAGACTTTGGCTGGAGCCGTAGGATGGCCTAGGCTGACCTCAGCAGATCCCTGCCCTGTGGTTTACCTCATAGCTATTCTTCCATTGTGCTAAGCAGTTCATTTTTCAGCCTCTTCAGGTCTTAGCCTCAGTTGCCTGTCACTCAATCAAAGGCTCATAGAACACATCAAGTATTTTACCTTTCCCTTTGCAAGAGTGAGGAACTCACTGTCTGAGCTTTCTGAGCTCACTCTCTGAAGTGCCTCCAGGTTGAAAGCCCCGCACCCCCAGTGTGCTTTTAGACAGGTCCTCATGTAGTCCAGGCTGGCCCTCAACTCCCTATGTATCTGAGAATAACCTTGAACTTCTGATCCTCCTGCCTCCACCTCCCAAATGCTAGAATTCTAGGTGTGCACTACCATGCCTGGCTCAGGGTTGACCTCTTTTTTTTTTTCCCCTAGAACTCACTCTGTAGCCCAGGCTGGCCTCGAACTCACAGAGATCCGCCTGGCTCTGCCTCCCGAGTGCTGGGATTAAAGGTGTGTGCCGCCACCACTGGCGCTGACATCTTTTCTACTTTAGGTTTCCTCCTGATTGTCCCCTCCTCATAGCCCTCCCTGGTGAGTGCCCCTTATGGCCAGGTCTCTGGGCTCCACAATTACTTCAGTCCCCAATGTCTTCACTGTCTACCTCAATCATGAGTCTGTCTCCTTCCCGGGCTCAGGACTCTGCGATGGTGACCAGTGCCATTCATTTACACTTGAGGACTAAGGTCCTTGACGTCCTCTTCCCAGCCCATTCTGGGTCATCGCTGTCCTGGGATGGGCATCTCTCAGTTTCCTATTGGAGAAGGACAGGCCTGGTGTGGCCCAGCACGACAGAGGTCTTAGGAAGGCTATCACATGCCAAGCTCTGACCCGGCTGGACACGTTGGGGACAGTGATGAATCAGGCAGAGAAACCAGGTCACCCAACCCGAATGATACATAAGCAGAGAATGCTGACCAGTGAGGGCCTGTCGTGAGGGGCCAACGCAAGGCTGTGGAGACACAAGGCTGCCGAGTTCCCTCAGGACACCACTGTGGACTGAACTGAGGGTCTCCTGGAATGGGCATGTTCTCGGCCAGGCTGTGGGTGTGCCTGGGGGGAGAGTCCACACCACAGAGCGCTAAGGCCTGCAGCCAGGCAGCAGTGGGGGCCAAGCCCAGCTGTGCCACTGCCTGTGTGGTGACTGCCAGTCACAGGCCTCTGTGAACCTCTGCTCTTCGTCTCTATGCCGAGGGGAGCCCATGGGGAGCGGCCTTGCGTGCATGAAAAGCTCGTCAGCAGCCTGTGTTTTCCTCCCTCCCCTCCCCTCCCCTCCCCTCCCTTTCCTGTCTTACTTTTCTTCCTTTCAACACTCCAAATCCTGTTTCTCCCCCATCCAGCCACTGACAAACACTCCAGTTTCCATTCTTTGTATGACAAGTCACGTTTCCTATCTTCTCCACAGGGTGACCTTGATCTAGTGATCTTCTTGCCTCAGTCTCTCTGAGCTGGAGTTACAGGCATGCACCATTATTCCTGGCTGCTTTTTTTTTTTTTTTGGTTAAGTTTTTATTTATTTTTATTTTCTGTGTATGAGTGTTTTTCTTACATGTATATGTATGCACTATGTACATTCCTGGTGCCCATGGAGGCCAGAAGAGGGCATCAGATTCCTGAGACTGGAGTTGCATTTGTTTGTGAGCCACCATGTGGGCGCTAGGAACCGAACCTGGGTCCTCTGCAAGAAGAGTTAGTGTTCTTAACCGTTGAGCTGTCTCTCCAGACCTCTAGCTGCCTTAAAAAAAAAAAATTATTTTTATTTTTATTATTTTTTTTAGAGACAGGAATTCTCTGTGTAGCCCTGGCTGGCCTAGAACATGCTCTGTAGACCAGGCTGGCCTCAAACTCAGAGATTCACCTGCCTCTGCCACAGAGTGCTGGGATTAAAGGCGTGCGCCGCCGCCGCCGCCGCTGCCGCCACAACCAGGCCTTGGTTTTTTGGTTTTTGGTTTTTTTTTTAAATCTTGGTTTGCTGATTCAGGGTCTCATTATGTAACCCAGGCCGACTCCCCAGTCAAGTGCTGGTGTGACGGGCCACGCACCACACTACCACACCCATCCCAGGACACATAGATCTTAACATTTACCCTGTAGATGCATTTTCTATCTGTTCTTTGTGATCTTCAAAATTTGAACTCTAGAAACCTCAAGGATTTCTTGGATTCTGTTACCTCCCCAGCCCAGGTCACTGGTGTATAGTTAGTTACCACCCAATTGTAGAGTATGTGAAGAAGGAAACCAACCGGAAGGGAAGCTTCCTCCTTCAGTCCAGCACATCCCTCCAGAGCCTCACCCAGAACAGCAAGGCCTCTCTCTGCTCCAGGGGACTCACAGAAAGGCCAGCCACAGCCTGAGAAGGAGACCCGTGCACATCTGGTCCATGTGCCCTGCATGGGAAATCCTGGGGCTTTGGAAGGGATTGCTGAGCACAGAAATGTTCTCTTGAGTCCCAGGAGAGTTTGTGACCTGTTTTTCTTGTCCGCTGAGATGAACATGGCCACGTTACCATCTCTATTGTGTTTCCTTTTCCTTTTTAAAAATATGTTTTATCTTGGGGAATGGTTTCACAGAAAAACTGGAAAGATAAAAGAGTCCCACAGGAACCTGGTGCCCAGCTTTCTTTTATGATTAAAATCTCATATGATAGTACATTTGTTTCTTGGTTTCATTGTTTGGTGGTTTGGGAGCTCCCTTCAAAAGATTTACTTTTATTTTGTGTGTATGAGTGTTTTGCCTGTGTGTGTGTGTGTCTGTGCACTGCATACATGCAGATCTCCTAGAGCCTGAGTCACAGACAGTTGTGAGCCACCAAGTGGGCTCCGGGAATTGAACCTGGGTCCTCTGGAAGAGCAGCCAGTGCTCTTAACCACTGAACCATCTCTTCAATTTTTGATTATTATTTTTTTCTATTTCTCTATAAAGAATGTCATGGGAATTTTAATGGGGATTGCATTGATTCTGTAGATTACTTTTTTGCTTGTTTTGTTTCGTTTTTCGAAAAAGGGTTTCTCTGTGTAGCTTTGGAGCCTGTCCTGGAGCTCACTCTGTAGCCCAGGCTGGCCTCGAACTCGCAGAGACCTGCCTGCCTCCGCCTCTCGAGTGCTGGGATTAAAGGTGTGTACCACCACTGCCCGGCTTGTAGATTACTTTTTGTTATATGATCATTTTCCCAATACCAGTTGTGTCAAAACAGTTCCTGATTCCTTCATTTTCTTCCTTTAGTATCTTTTTTTTTTCTCCCCAAGACAGGGTTTCTCTGTTTAGCCTTGGGTGTCCTGGAACTCACTCTCAGAGTGGCCTCGAACTCAGAGATCTGCCTCTGCCTCCCGAGTGCTGGGATTAAAGGTGTATGCCCCCACCACCCTGCTAGACTGCTCGCTTTTAAAGCAGCAGTTAATTGTAGCTAGTTATATCTTCACAGTAATATTAAAAAGGATTTGTTTTAAAAAAAAAAGCTATGCCTATGAATGTGGTTATGTGTGTAAGAGCTGTTAACCACTGAGCCAGCTCTCCAAAGCCCGCCCCTCCTCCTCCCTCCCAGTCCCCGCTCCATTTCTATATATTTCATTTTTATGTATAAGTGTTTGTCTGTGTGAGTGAATGCTGAGTGTGTGAACTTGTACCAGAGGAGGTCAGAACAGGACATCAGGTTCCCTGGAGCAGGGGTTCCAGGTCATTGTGAGCTGCTAGACACAGGTGCTGGAAACGAAACTGGCATCACCTGCAAGAATGGTATGCACTCATAATACTGGACCACCTCTCCATCCCCAAGCAGGCCACTCGAACCTAGAAATAGCATCTGTATCTCCTCCCCTCAAGACGAATGAGCTGCAGCTGACAACGCACCACCTC